ACAAAACTTTAATTTGATTTGAATATAACAATATAAATAAATAAGCCAGCCCTAGTCCATTAACCCTAGCTTCTTAACCCTATATTTTGAAAATTATGTTTTTATTTAATTTGGTCTTCTCCTGGTTTTGTTTTATGGGCTATGTGTGTTTTTTGGATTTAAGAAAACATCAAAACAGAATTAAAAAGTACTGCAGTCAATATCCAAAAAATGCGTTCCGTTTTATTGAAAAATTATCGAGTGGAATATCCTTAATTTAATCCCGATCGGTTAATTAATCCGGAGATTAATAACAAGAGAAAAACAAGCATTATTTAATCTGGAAATTAAGAAAAAGAGTGGATCAAGCATTAATCCCAATATCCACCATTCAAAAGTTCTCAGCTCTGTATTATTGAAAAATTATCGAGTGGAAATGTAAAATGTTTCTAAAATTATTACTTATTAGCACGCATTTGTTAAGCTACTTGCGGGCCATACATTTCGGTTTAGATAGGAAAAGGATTGCAAGCGTAATTTCAAGTGACCCTTCATGAAAAAAACCTGATTAACAATGGTAGTTTTTAAACACACTGAGGGCAGACAACGCCGTGTGATTATTTCTGAATCAGTTAAAAGCTTAAAAGGTACTGTTTTAAATCGGACAGTTTCGAAAAAGAAGGAACGCATAGAATGCATCTTTAAAAGTATTGAAACAATTAGTGAAAGAAATTGCTTGAATTGAACGTTATAATCAGGAACGCGTTTTTATTATAAAGAACGCGTTCGCAGTCGAGAATGCATTTTAATTTTTTTACATGTATATACAGTTTTATTTCTCAATTTTATTTCTTAGCAAATAAAATCTCAGATACTACAATATTTGATTTATGAAGCAAAAATAAGTTGTAGAAAATATAAATTTTTTACAAAAATCTCAATGCAGAAGTTTACTTTAGTTAATTTCAGGATGGATTTCAATGAATACAAAAAAAGGTTAAAAAATTATCTGTATTTTTACTCTTTAATTTTCACGTATTTGTTGCTTCAAATAATTCCATTACAATTCATGAAAAATCTTATGTGGAACTGTTAAATGCCATATTTTTTTGATATTTGCTATTTTAAAATAAAATTGATAAAATATCTACTTCAGTAATAAAACAAAAATAAAAAACTTGTTTGCACTTTGTTGTGCATTCCTAAAAAATACCTGTCTACATACTTGTTCTATATACAGGACCTCTTCAAGGTGATGCCGAAGTTTGACACGAGGGTTGCCCTCTTCAACATGGACATGGAGAAGAAGTTTGGAGAACAGGACCAATATATTGAATGTATTCAGATAGTTTCTGACAGAAACATTGCAATTTCATGTATATTTTAATCTCAATATTGACAATAATTTTGACAAGTCCTAAAAGTCTTTTAATTCAATACTATAAAATGTTGATTTTTCGCTCTTTTCCATTTATAGTTACAAGAAAAAGAATAAGTTAAGAACAATAAAAATTTAAGTTTCATAACAATATTTTGAATGACTCTTTAATTAAATTCGATTCACAATGCAGTCTACGTGCCACAAAAATGAAGTGAATTACAAGGACGACTAATGGAACAAAACATTCGTTGGCCGATGAAGTAGGGGGAGGAAGGCCAACCAAAAGAATTTCTCGTCCGAGCCACATTCTCTCGTCCGAGCCACCTCGTCCTTTCAATATCATTTTTTTAAGTGTCTAATCCTCCCAGATAAAACTATTTTTAAAAAATTGCGCCACGTTAGGGCATAAATAAATTATCGAATGTTTGTAAATCAAAAAAAATTAAGTTTTTTCGAGTTTATATAACTTCAATGTTTTTAGTTAATTTATAGTAAAAACCATAGTATTTTTCCAGGTGGTTACGTGTAAAAAATGATATGCCAAATATTTGCTAATTATTTTATATCGCGAAGGTTTGCCATTACGGGGGCAGAGAGATTTAAGTTTGACATCATTCTCATAGGTTTAAAGATTCCACTATGATGTGATCATTGCAATACTTAAGTACATCCATATGTTATGCCCTTACTTGGCCAGATTTTTAAAAACAGTTTTATCTTCGAGAATTGGAAACTTTTAAACACAGAGTAATCAAAGGACGAGGATTCCGAAAGGAAATGTTCCTATATAGCTGTATTTATAAAATTGAATTAAAGATTTTTTTCTTCTAAAAACCAATCCGCAAGCATGTAACGTCCATCAGAGGTCTAATATGAGACCATAGGAATAATAACGTCGTAACATGTCGTAACATGTAATTACACATAAAAAATTATGTGAATTATCGGATTATAAATAAATATCTAGATTTTGAAAAGGATTTTGATGTGGCTCGGAAAGGAAAATGAGGAGAACGTGCCTCTGACAATAAATGGTTGTGGCTGGCCTTCCCCCCTCGATGTAGTAAAGGAGACTGTCTGTGTACATTGTCTAAACTTTCAATTCTTCTAATTCATAGTATTTTTTTACTTTAAAATAGAAACTTTAAATCAGGAAGAATATTAGGTCGCTCTTGTCAAGGATTTAATGCAAGGAAAGTTATTTCAGAGGTGTACGCATTTTTTGTACTGCAGTGTACTGTCACTGGGCGGTAATATAAACACAAGACGGATGTCGAAGCCTGACATGGGATCCATATTTCACATAAATCATCAATAAAATATTCTGGTCATAGGAATCTATTATGTGAATTATCAAAATTATCGAAGAACCTGTAAAATCTTTCCCTGGGATGTTTAGAAAAATGAAAATTTCCCTGTATGATAATTGAAGAACTGCAGTATGGTTTTGGTGAATTATATTGGCGTACTAAGCCTAGGGGTGTTAGAAATGATTTTTTGACTATTTTTAAAAACTTCTATAAAACTTTTAAAGTTTAATTTTTGATAACATTTTTTGTTCTGGATGATTGCAAATACCTATCTAAAACTTTCTTGAACCCGCATATTTTTCTATATTCTATACTTATTTTTACTCAAACTCTTAACTAAATGAATATAGAAAAAATATGCCAGATTAAGAAAGTTTTAGATAGGTATTTGCAATCATCCATGAAAAAAAAATTTGATCAAAATTAAACTTTTTTAGGTTTATGGGACGTTTCAAAAAAAATGCAAAAAAAATATTTCAAACACCCCTAGGCTTAGTACGCCAAGATAATTCACCAAAACCATAGTGCAGTCCTTCAATTATCAGGGAAATTTTCAGCTTTCTAAACATATGCATCCCAGGGAAAGATTTTACAGGTTCTTTCATGCTTTTAACCTCCTCGGATATTGAACGAACACTGATGGATCTATTCTTGTTTACAAATTCCGCCCAGAGAGAACTGGATTCAATATGTACGCAGAGTACACGCAACTGTAATTAATTTTCCTTGCATTACATTCTTGGCTCTTGAATTCCACTTTACTCGTGTGTCCTTGAATCAAGAATCACTCTCTTTGTTCATAATAAATCTTTCAATTTACTTATTCTCTAAAATCTGCTGCAAAATATATTGTTATCTTTTTAAGACCGTTTGGAGTTTTGCAGCAGACAGCAGATAGGGTGAAAGTGCTTTCATCATAGACCACCGAGGGAAGGAACCCCCGGACGCCATGAGCCTCCGCTATGCAGACATAAGCCTCCCAGATTTTTTAGGTAGACCGAGCCTCCGCTATGCAGAAATGGGCATACGCAATACATCAATGTGCCTGTTTAATACAGGAGGTTTTCTTAAACTTGTGTTTAAAGTTTAAACAAAAGCTTTATTAAAATTTTTTCTTGACATCGTGGCAGGAGAGGTTTCTCAAAGATGAGAAGTATTTATCAATTATTATAAATATTTCCTGAAAGAAAAGTATTTAGAGAAAACGATTTGAATTAAATTGCAATTTGACTTTTATAATCTATTCTTTAATTAATACCTTTCTTCTGTAGTTCAAATCAAATCTAGAAAATTTATATAATTTATTTAAATCTTAACATTTTTCAAAAAACAGTATTGTTTAAGTCATGGATTACATCAAAACAAACTAAATTTACTTGAGAAATATTTCTCCAAATATCTTCATATTCTAGGAGGAAATCTAATCCGTTCTCTTCCTATTCCAAGAGGGAATCTAATCTGTTTTTTTCTATTCCAGGAAAGAATCTAATCCGTTCTCTTTCTATTCCAGGAGGGAATCTAATCCGTACTCTTCCTATTCCAAGAGGGAATCTAATCTGTTTTTTCTATTCCAGGAAAGAATCTAATCCGTTCTCTTTCTATTCCAGGAGGGAATCTAATCCGTTCTCTTTCTATTCCAGGAGGGAATCTAATCCGTTCTCTTTCTATTCCAGGAGGGAATCTAATCCGTTATCTTTCTATTCCAGGAGGGAATCTAATCCGTTATCTTTCTATTCCAGGAGGGAATCTTATCCGTTCTCTTTCTATTCCAGGAGGGAATCCGTTCTCTTTCTATTCCAGGAGAGAATCTAATCCGTTATCTTTCTATTCCAGGAGAGAATCTAATCCGTTATCTTTCTATTCCAGGAGAGAATCTAATCCGTTATCTTTCTATTTCAGGAGAATCTTATTCGTTATCTTTCTATTCCAGGAGGGAATCTTATCCGTTCTCTTTCTATTCCAAGAAAGAACATAATCCGTTATCTTTCTATTCTAGGAGGGAATCTAATCCGTTATCTTTCTATTCTAAGAAAGAACATAATCCGTTATCTTTCTATTCCAGGAGGGAACCTAATCCGTTATCTTTCTATTCCAGGAGGGAATCTTATCCGTTCTCTTTCTATCCTAGGAGGGAATCTGATCCGTTATCTTTCTATTCCAGGAGGGAATCTAATCCGTTCTCTTTCTATTCTAAGAGGGAATCCAATCCATTCTCTTTCTAGGAATATAATTAAGGGTAAATCTTCCAAACCATCTAAAGATGTGGGTCCAGCTTCTCTTCTTTCTTTTCAAGCCTCTTCTAGTCTCACTCTCGGAGGGAAACTAAACTGTTGGTTTTGTCTTATTTTATCGTAACATAATTTTATTTTCTGTACAGTGTACGCTTATCATACAAAATAAAATTTATAGCAATGTTTAAGAATACAATTAAATATTTAAAGGCTAGCATAGACTAATAGAGGATATTTTATCTGTGTGAATATCTCCGAGATAACATAAAACTGATTTAATCTGACATATTCTTGTTTACAGATTCTGCTTGCAATCTTACTAATTCACTCTGCACCTTTCGCTCCCTGAAAAAAAAATTTTTATAAAAAAACTAGCTGAAGTGTCCGGCGTTGCCAGAGGAATTTTTAAAATCAAACTTTTTAAGAAATTCATTTTTTTGGAGAAAAAATTTTTAATTTAAGGGTTCCCTAAATAATTGTCAGCCCATTCGGTTCAGCCGTCTGGCCGACTATAGCAAACATAAATAAAAAATACAAGAGTTTTTTTTCATACATAGGATGTCTCAAAAAAACGGGGAATAAGGGTCTACAAAATAGCTTGTAATCGTATTTTTAAGATTGAAACCATTTTAAAATCTACGTACAATTTTATAGGCTCCCTAAATAACAATTTTATAGGCTTTCTAAATAAAAATTTTATAGGCTCCTCAAGTCTCCAACTTTATTTTTACCAAATTTACTCATTTCAGTTGGAAACTTTAGGGAGTCTTTAAAATTAGCATTTTTAAATCTACAAGCCTAAAATTGGGCTCATTGAATCGGAAATTTTTAGTAGATTATAAAAATGGTCTCAATCTTGAAAATCTGATTACAAACGAGTCTGTAGACCCTTATTCCCCAATTTTTAGAAACCCTGTAGATATATTAAAAACTTATCCATACAGAAATAGGATTATTTCACAACGACTAAAATCTTGTGGTAGAAAGATTATCTCTTTTTTATTTATCTAAAAATTCATTATCTGTGAACAATTTACCAAAGACAAACTAGAAAAAAACTGGACAGAAAAGAGGGGGCCAGCATTATTATGTTACTCTTTTTAATTAGAGAATTACTAAAATTAGTTGAACAATACTTTAAGAAAGCCTAATTTAAAGAATAGTCTGAAAACAACATTTTTACGAGTTCTCAACTATTTTCTGGTATGTCCTGCTTAAAGGGAGTGTTCGCCAAAAATGAATGGAGGTACAAGCTTAATGCAATAAAAAAAGCACTTTTGATCACTACTAATCTTCCTTCTATCTGTTGCGTCTATAAGGAGAAAATTGTTAAAAACGACTTAACCGAAGAACGTAGCGTCCATTCAAATTCAACATTAAACTCGGATCGTAAAGAAATCAATTTAATTCCAAACAAATCATTCAGATGTTACAAACAAAAGTCATCGATTATTGTTCGACGCATTCGTAAATATTTGATATTTCTCCTTATAGACGCAACAGATAGAAGTAAGATACCCCATTTCATTTTTCGCGAACACTCCCTTTAAACGTGATCAAAATACCATTATTATACATAAAATATTCTTTGTATTATCATGTTAAGAGGGACACACTGTAGTCATGATAAAAAAGAGCGTAGCATTTCAGATTCACAAAAGTTTCCTTGAAACCTTAATCTAACCACTATTTTGGAAGATAAACGTCATTTTATTGTCTTAAAATGTAATGTGCAAATCTGCAAATGTGCAAAATGTGATGTACAAATTGTAATGTGAAAATCTGCAAATGTGCAAAATGTAATGTGCAAATCTAGAAATGTGCAAAATGTAATGTGCAAATGTGCAAATGTGCAAAATGTAATGTGAAAATCTGCAAATGTGCAAAATGTAATGTATAATGATGAAGAATATTTTCTAAGGTCGATCTATCCATTTTATATGGTAGTGTACTATACTTTTTATAAGTAATGTACTAATTATTTCAAATCTAGAAATGTGCAAAATGTAATGTGCAAATCACTTATGCAGAGAAACCAAAAATATGAGTTTGAATAAAAAAGTCTCTCATTAATATTTAATCACTGGCAAAGACTTTATTGATACCGATGTAAATCCGACATGCCGACCTATCAAATGAATGGTCACTTAAAATCCCGTGTACACTGCCTGTAAGACTACTTGATGAATAATTAGGCATTGAGTATTGAGAAGGAAAACTTTTTCTTAATATAAAAAGCGAGTGTTTAACCCTGGCTGGGGCCTCTTTAGAATTTAACATGCACCCTCTAGTTTTATTTTGCCCTAGCACTCATTTTTGACACTATCATTGTGAAATTTTTCGACTTTTAAGACAAGGTAATTTATAGGATTGTTTGTAAAAAAATTACAGGGCGGTAAGAAGTCCGCTCCGTGTTATACATGTGTCACATCTTGATATTTGACTAAAACAAGAACAACATTTTTTCGACCCTTTTTGTCATTTTTATTTACCTGTGTTCACGAAGTTTCTCAATAAACTCCGATAATTCCTTTTTAGTTTCCATATTCTCCTTGCTGTATATTTTGCCTTGTATATCCTTGAAATTATCCTCAAACCAATCAACCTAAACATTCACATTGTATTCAAAATATGTTTATTTAGTTTAATAAGTGTATATTTTTTAATAATTACACTCCCCCCGGGGCCGCGGAGAAATGATTTTTGATGTTCTGGCGGGAAAAATGGAAAAGAGATCTTGGATATTTTTTCTTAAAACATGCATTTATTATTCCCTAAAAATCCATAATTTTCCTTAGTCAACGAATAAAACCGACTAAAAAAATTCGCTGCTGCGTACAACTTTTGAAACAAAGATTTTCAAAGAGAGAGAGAAAACAATGATTTTTTAGAACGCCCTGAAGTTGTTTAACTATAAAAAATCAAATCAAATTCTATAAAATGGTATTTTTAAATTACGGATTCCACATAAAAGTAAATTAAAGGTTTCTTGCTACAGAAAAAAATGGTAAAAATTATTCGAATTAAAACAATTAGATATGTTTCACATTGATCAGATATACTTGTTTAAATGGCATGCCCCATTTTAACTTGCAAACAGTGGTAGGCGATTATATCAATTCAATGACTTTTTATTTGAGTTTTACAAGCAAACAAAGAGAAACGTTTGAAATTGACAGTTTCTCTTGATTTTTATGTTAATGCGTATCCTATCCATGCTGTTCAACAGCTTGATATAAAATTAGATTAAAAAGCACTTATTTGTAATCTACAACGCCATCGTTCAACCAAATCTACTTAGCGTACCACTTATTCTATAACACATGTTATATGTTATCATAAAACCCATTATTTAATATTACTGATAGGACACTAAATGTCTTATAATGAATATGTGTTTTGTTCACAATAACCCAAAGGAGTTTTACGTCAACAGACTCTCTCTCTGAAGAATGAAAAGACGACATCTAGTGCCCTGTTATTTTAATTAATCTATGATAAAACCAATCTATATCAAAGTATCATCTATGTAAAATAAATGCGTCAATATATTTTGAAATGAACTATTACCAAAGTGCACAAATTCTCTCCTTTAAACCTTTCGATTTTTTTTTCAGTCCATTCACTTTTCTTTCGGATAAACCAATGAACTAATATTGTAACCCAATAAGTTCTCTATTCAACATAAAATTAACTCTTCTTTAAATCCCAAAAAAATGCCAATTGTTCTGGGCGGGGAACTTTAGAATGGTGGATATCGAGACCAATGCTTGATCCTCTCTTTTTCTTAATCTTGAGACTACCTGATGATATGCGTAGAAGCTAGCAACTGGGAAGATCATATATAAAGCCATCTTGGCAACTTCCAATTGCCATTTACCCATTTTAGCCTGTAAATATAAACTCTTACGACGTCTGTAAATATATATATTTATTTCATATCTACAACAAAATTAAATTTATTACTATAATTTGTGTTTGTATCGCATTTAGAGTTCTAACCATTCCTAGTTAAAGGAACTAAAGACAAAGTTTCAAGTGACGGATAGACTTGTCTGATTCAATCCAGTACTATTTAACCTCTAAATGACAATGAGGAAGTTATCGTCGTTAATCTATACCAAAAAGTGAAATAAAATAAATTTTCGGAAATAAAACTGTTTATATTTAATCCGGAGTTCAAAAGGTACAGTTCTCAATGGGACAGGTCATTTAAAACTACGTCAACAGTCCCATCAAATTCTAAAAGTTTGTGAAGAAGAATCAAATCAAAGTTGAAACGGTTTCTTGCAAGTTTTTCATCTTCTTTTCAGGGTCCAGGAAGATAAATGCCAAGTTCAGGTCGAAAAGGTTGAATATCATCAAGATCATCATCTTCAGAATCTTCCAGTTCAGAATCATCAGTAGATTCATCATTATGGTCTTCACTGTCCTCGAGTAGTTCTGCTGGAATCTGAAAAACAATCAAGTAAAGATTGTTGGGATCGTGTCAAAATCCATTAAATAAGAATAAAAAGATGTATCACAATTTCTCCCCGGCCCCACATTCTCCCTTTAATAGCATGAGCATAGAACACTCCGTTTAATGAGAGATTTCTTCAAATCACGTCACTTCACGTCACTTCACGTCACTTCACGTCACTTCACGTCACTTCACGTCACGTCACGTCACTTCACGTCACTTCACGTCACTTCACGTCACTTCACGTCACTTCACGTCACATCACATCACATCACATCACATCACATCACATCACATCACATCACATCACATCACATCAAATCATATCACATCACATCACATCAAATATCTTAATATAATTTCTATCTCTTTCTATAGTTTCTTGATAGTGAGCAAGAGTCACTGAAAAACTGAGTAAGATAAAAATAAGATCTACAATTGGTTGCAAAATAGATTCGGGGAGTTACTTTTAATTTTTAGTTAACACTTCGATCCTTTAAGACCATTAATTTAAATTAAAACGTGGAATACAGTTTCTTACCACTGGGGTGGGTAGTGGCTCCTCTGTCTGTGATGTAGCGTCAACTTTACGCAGAGTTTCATGACACATAGGGCAGCTATCCTGAAGTTAAAATCTATATAATAAAGCTCTTCGCATTTGTATGTATTTTAGCTATAGCTGGCCGAATGGCTGTACCGAATGGGCAGACATTTTTTAAGCGAACCGGTTTTTTTCTCCTCAAAAATCTATTTTCCCCCTAAAAATTTTTTTACTCCCGAAATTCAATTTTAAAAAATTCTACGAGCAACGCCGGGCACTTCAGCTAGTTATCATTAAATCTGTTAAGAGGTCAGCAAATATAAATATTTTTTTTGAGGAGAAATACACTTCGGATTAAATGGTTCCAAAGTCATGCTTTTAGTGAAGGAGGAACCCCCATTTTAACTGCTCGTTGTTGTTTATTATTCCTTTCCTCGTCAAATAAACCGTGCAAATTTAAATCTTTCTCCAAATATTCATGTCAGTCTTAGAAATTATGTAGATCAAATCCGAATGGATAAAGGGATAGGTTTAGTTTACAACTTTAGTCAATTCTATTCAATTCATGAAATAATGATGTGATTGCTTAACAGTCCGGCTGTGTTCAATAATATCAAGAATTATTTACGGTGTTTGGTATTTTCCCAAAACATTTTCCAAAAGGCGAGTTAACAAGTGACAACGTTCCAAAGATTATGCTTTCTTGGGCGCCGCAAGCTGCAATTGAGCCCCGAGAGCTGTGGCAAGGATGGGCTAAGGGCCGAGCGCTGCGGCTAGTACAGACTTGCGAAGTTTTCGCTTAGGAAATTTCAGTTGAGAAAAAAAACTCGCGAAGTTAGCGCTGGGGAAACAACCTCACACCTTAATTACATTTTTTATGTTAGCAATGTAACCATTTCTTAGGCTGTTGCAATACAATGTCAACATTCAACATATCCGTTTCTCCCTTTCTTTGATTTATCTCTCAAATCAAATCATATAACGGCTTAAAGCTCCTAAATGTGGGTTTAAGTTTCAAGTCTCAAATGATTAAAATAATGAAAAAGATAAAATCAAGCAAACCTGAACATGCAACCACTTGGTTAGACAACTGTAATGAAACATATGTGAACACCGGGTTAACTTGGCTTCTGCCATCTCCTAAAACATAAACAAATCATATCAAAATCGAATTAAATTGACACATATCAAATCTACACAAATCTACACAAATCAACACAAATCAACACAAATCAAATCTACACAAATCTACACAAATCTACACAAATCAAATCAAATCAAATCTACACAAATCTACCATAAATCTTAACAAATCAAATCAAACAGAGGTAAGCAAAAAAAATTAAATTTTAAATGATTTTGAATAGATACTAATGTAAAAAGTAAGCACAAATATTCAATAGTCTGATATTAACCTGATAGCAAATTGCGCAGACGTCTGCTAGTTTCTCAATTTGTTCTTTTGTCGCATCTTGCATATCTGCGATCTTCTCTAAAGCTGTGCGACGCTTCCAGAATGTCGACCATCCCGACCTGTGTGTATCAAAATGTTAAGTTTTACCAAATTGGATTGTTAGAAGAAGTATTTAGGATCCGGATCCGTGGTATCAGCAAGATTTTGGCTTCCTGGATCCAGATCCGCATAAATATGCGGATCCACGGATCTAGATTAAAGTGGCAAAATATCAACCAAAAACTGCAAAAAAAAACTTTTTACTCTCAAACCCAAAACGGAACACTTGAAAAAAGAGATTATAAAAATTTCCTCATTTCTGAATAAATATACGCGAAAAAAATAAGAAACAAATCTGAAAATTCTGCTTGGTAAAAAAATTAAGGGAATCTTAAAAAAAAGACCTGGATCCGGATCAATTTTTCCCCCAAGCGGATCCAGTATCCGGATCCGCATCTAAGGACTTGTTAGAAGGCAAATTAAATCACAACTTTTTTATCCAATATTTCATCAATTAAAAAAAATATTGAAAACAATTATTGTCATGTCAAAAAGAAGAAAATGAACAGAATTCTGAAAACGTTACTTTTAGATCAGAACTTACTTAGCTTCCAGCCAAATATTGTAGTAAGCATGAATAACCATCATAACAGCTCTAAAACAGCCTCCGGCCTCGAACAGCAGAACCCAGCCTCCGTTCAAGAAAACAAATATAGCGAAGAAGAACTGAGCTGTTCCTCCAAATGCTTTGATGTAGAAGATTGTATCATCGAATGATTCCCAGAGAACATCCTGAAAACAAAGAAGACTTAATTGTTAAACATATCAGTTCTGGATCAATCCAATAAAAAATGGATCCGGATCTAGCAAATAAACTTAGTATAAGTTTTGCGAATTTCTTTTTACCTTAAAAACATTTTTCTTTGGGTTTCCCTTTTATTATACAGAACCTTAATTTACAATTGATTTGGAAGATTTCATGATATCTCATTGATTGACACAAAAATGTGTGCTTCGAGATCTAGAAATTTTACAACTTGGACCCGGATCATAAACACTAGTACATTGTGACCGAGTAGATGGTCAGTGTGACCAGTATCTTTACAACAACCTCAGCACAGAATGCAGTAACTAAAATAATTTATATTAGTTGAATAGATTAAGATTTAAGTATCAAATAAAAAATAATCCAAAATATTATCTCTCTAGCTAAGTATTGATAAGAAATGTTGAGAATGTTTAAGGTAGGATTTAATGAAAAGGATAAGTAGTTCAACTACTACTCTCGGCCACACCGAAGACGGGGTGGGATGTTCAACCATGGTACCAATCAAATAATACTTTACAGGGATTGCTTGAGGCATCCTTCGTACGAGTTTCAAGTAATTTTAACTTTCTGGATTTTTAGCCCGATCTTAATCATTTATTTGCTTTTACTATTGCAGTTGGAGTGTTTTCGAGTTGACCGATTGACATATACAGCGGAAAAATTTGATTTTGAATAAAAAAAAATCTATGCTTTAACAGTTACTAGCTTAAAATACAATTGGTGGGTACCTCCCTACTACTACTTTTGCTACTCATTAAATCCAACGGCGCTCAGAGCTCCTCGAACAACAATTAATTTGTATAAAAAAATGTTAATACCTGCCATAAGCCAAGTTCCTAGTTGAAACTTGGACCAGAGGATAAGGGTTAATCCAAGCGGGAACAAAATTAGGAACAGACATACACTTAAGGCCTAGAAAAAAAGAACAAATAAAGAGAAAATTTACATGAAAAATCTTTTAACTTAGATAATTTATTTAAAATATAAAAGTTATGGATTAAAAGAATCAGACAGAGAAACATTTTCTCAACAAAACCTTGGTTTTAGAAGCACATTGACCAAAATACTTAAAATGACTTAACTCACCCGCAAATGCTTTTTCTTGTTTAGGCTTACAGCAGTCCCGGTTCTGAAAAAAAATATTAAAAAATTGCCTACATTTAGTTGAATAAGTTTTGCATTAATTATTAAAATGAAAAAAAGAAAATTTGTTTATTAGTTGCGAGACCAATTCCCCACCCCCTTCTAAGAATATATATTTTCCCCAAATTCACAACTTTAAAAACAGGTATATTTTACAGGTTTCTGAAGCCCGCACAAACTTCCTTTTTTTCCCCCCAAACCCAATGAGACCTAATATATTTCCGTCGCAAAATATGCATGCCTAGAAAAGTTGTGACTCATATTTTCAGAATCCTATATTTTCCCTAAATTCACAACAGATTTATTTTACAGGTTTCTGAAGCCCGCGCAAACTTCGAAGAAGTTTGCTGTGGCGGGGGGATGCAGGAAAGCCACATTGCAATGATGTCTTTTGGATTTCAGTAGTATAATTGAGCATTTTAATGCCCTGGAAAGGTGAAGTTCAAGGTCTCCCCTAGTTATTTTTAAGCATTTCTGATACTGTTATTTTTTTAAAATTTTGTGTGGCTTTTTCCCTTATTTGGTGCCCTGGAAAGGTGAAGTTCAAGGTCTCCCCTAGTTATTTTTAAGCATTTCTGATACTGTTATTTTTTTAAAATTTTGTGTGGCTTTTTCCCTTCCCTCTTTCCCCTTCCTTCTTGACCCTTCTCCCTTCCCTTATGCCCCCTCTTTCCTATTTACTCTTCCCTTTTCCCTTCTCTCTTCCCTTTCCTTCTTTTTATCCTTTTTCCCTTTTTCCTTTTTTCTTCATTTTCCCCCCAAACCCTATGAAAGCTTATATCCCCCCCCCCGAGGGGAGGGTTAACAGAAAAATATACACCCCTAAGAAAAAAATGTTAATTTAAATAACGTGTTCACTCACTGTAAGCTTATCTGTTTTAAATTACCTAGTAGCCAAATTACTGATGTAAGGATGAACCATAGAATGAATATAATGAAGGATTGCTGTCAACAGGAGACAACAATTCTAAAATAAACAAAATAAATCTCAATAATTCTAAAATATACAATATTATTCTTAATTATTCTAAAATATACAAATTTAATCTTAATTATTCTAAAATATACAAAATACATTGTTAACAATATATACAGGTAGCAATACAATACAAATCATACAAAAAACGCGTCTTCATTAGCTATTACATAACGAACAATACTTTGATATTGTGATTTTAGGAAGTGCAACTTAACTTAATAATTTGAGCTTTTAAATTGCTGAGACCAGATTTATTGAATTGGAGAATTGAATCACAGGTTCAAAGTTGAAAATTCACGAGGATTTAAATAGTTGGTTCAGGATTTGAAACGACTATAGGTAGTTCAGCGACCTCTCCAATTCATTCAATTCGGTCCATATTTGATAAATACAACGATTGTTCTGTTTTGTTTACCTTCCCTATCTGAATGAATCTCATGTCTGGTTCTAGATCTACTAAACCGGTTTGTAAAGCGAGGATAAAGAAAAGAATGGAGGATATACTTCCAATAGATTGATCATCTACATCATCTGTGTCAAGGAACAACTAAACAAACATCATCTGTGTCAAGGAACAACTAAACAAACATCATCTGTGTCAAGGAACAACTAAACAAACATCATCTGTGTCAAGGAACAACTAAACAAACATCATCTGTGTCAAGGAACAACTAAACAAACATCATCTGTGTCAAGGAACAACTAAACAAACATCATCTGTGTCAAGGAACAACTAAACAAACATCATNAGGTGAAAAAAGTTGGACATAGAAAAGCTAGGTTATTTTCTTTTCATTTGCTATACTGTTCCCCCTAAAAGTCATTCAGCAAAGAAAACCCTAAAAATTAATCTTTCCTCTTCAAGCAAACATAACTAACTTCTGGAAGACAAATTATATTTCAAGAAAAGATAAACCTTTGTGTGGAATGGGGGCTCAATTTCATTTTAACGATGGAAACTTTTGATTATCTGATTTCTGAAGAGATTATAAATTCCGACCTCTGTTAGTAAATAATCATTTTTTCTATTTGAAAACTAAAAAATTAAAACCATGACTGATTTATTATAACGTACCTTAAAAATGCTACCGATAAAATTTGAAAGAACCGAGATAAGACTTGTGAAGCTGAGCAGCGCAATATAGGTTTCACAACCCCGGACTAAGACCAGCTCCAGGTCGGAGTTCAACCCAACCAAGGAGATGGTGAGAGAATCCCAGGATTGGTAGACAACTAACATTATCCGGAGAACACCATAACTCCTGGACATGTCACAGATTAATAACATCGAGGATGAATTACAGGAGTTTTAGTAAAGTTACAAGTTACAGTTAACATATCTGGACAAGTGTTCCCTGTACAAAATCACTTCAAGGGACTGTACATAATCATCTTCGCCCCCCCCCCTTCAAGGGACTGTGATGTGACCCTTCATGCAAAGATGGCACTGCCCAATTCCCATCGGTAACCGTGTAACCTTTATCTGATCAATAATGTGGAAGATATTGTCGTTTTTCTAGATTGAGAAGTGTTTAAATCTGATAATTCCTATATGGTTTTCTGCAGTAGAAATGGCCATGTCATTTTTGTTAAGAAACCTGCACATGATAGTCAGGACAATATCATGATGTCAATTATTCCAACTTGATGTAGTCGTATTTCAAACTAATTTTTAAAAATATAATTTCTTGGGTATTTGCTCATAGAACCTACACAAATATGACATTATATTAATCTTATGAGGTGCGGCCTTCGTTAAAGAATGCATCAAGATTATTTCATCGAGTTTAAGAATTCCATAATCAAATTGTTTTCCTCATAAGATAAGATTATCATATTCTAATTATATATATTGATATCTAATTCATAATTGATCAGAAAAGACTTGTGTGTACTGTTGTAAATCGGGCATTGTCATCCTTGAATGAAAGGTCATTTGATATTACGTATACACTCCCTTTAAGCGACAATAACAATTAGGAGGTGTAATTTTGTATAAAAATAAATACGCCGATAAAAAAGAGAATTTACATACTTGAGAAGAGTTGGAACCTTTAACCGGGTCCACTGCATCTCCAAGTAGAGATGTAAACCCTGGTTCTGTATCTTCTCCATCTCCAGGTTGGCGCTCCTGTCTATAGATCTACAACCCTGGATACAGATTTGACTGAACCAGCAGGCAACCAGGAGACAGGTGGGTGTAGCTGATATGTACCATAAAGAATCCTTGTACCTACACATAATTACGTTGGTCATAAGAATCTTTTATGACTTGTATACAGTTAACTATACAGGATATAACAAAGACTTATGCCCGGAAGTAATAAAAAGTAAGAAGTTAAATTTTTTTTTACTCAAATACGACTCCTTGTTAGAAATAAGAACCGTTTTTACTGCACTTAAGTTCTAATTAAGTTCTAACCGGCGCGGCGGTGCTTAAAATCAATTTTGGACGCTCACTGGAAAAATGGATCCGGATCCAAATCCGGATCCGGATCATGAAGATTTATTTCAGAATTATTGATTTTTTAACAGAAGAAGAATTTTTGAATTATTTTTTTTTCTTTTTTTTTCACTCAACAACTTGAAACCCCGTTCAGAGATAAGGACATTTCTCTTTTTTCAGCAGTTTAGATCGAGTTTAGAAAGCAAAATATTTTTTATTGCAGTTTTGGTTGGGATTTTGCCCTTGAATCCGGATCCCCCTTTTATCCGCATGTTTCTGCGGATCCGGATCCAGGAAGCCCGGAACCTAAGCACTGGTTCTAACAATGTAAATTTTAAGTTAATAAAGTTTCACTAATCACCTTCCTCTCCCTGGAATATACCTTGGAGGCACTGAGTCGCATCCGTTGACTAGGCCTAGGAGGAGGGTGGAGGGAGCCAGGAACCTTCTCAGGGTTGTTGTCCAGGGTTTAGGTTCAGTACTGCTAGGAACCATGATATCAAGAATCTCGCCCAGACTCGACTAAATATAACAAAAATTAGCTGGAACGTTTTTTTCTTCAAAATGGTGGTCTAAATTCCGTTATATTTAATTTAATTAAATCCGTTGCTATACGTGATGAGATCGGAAACACTCGCTATCTACAAGAAACCAGATCAAACCAACGTATGTAGATGAGGTACATTAAGAAAATCCCAAAATTGTAATATGTAATGACCGAGAAGAATCGCGTTTAGGTCAATTGTTGCCGGGAAAGCGTGAGCTCCAAAAGAAAATCCAAAGATTGGTTCCAAACACGAAGACGTGAATTGGCCGAGTTTACACGTGACTGAAATTTTAAAATGGCTGCTTTACCCAGGATGACATCCTGAAACTAACCTGGATAATAATATTTACAACAAATCTGAAGACTCCGGAAAACTTGAGATCCTTGGAAAAATAGTAAACCACCACCTCCTACAAATATCGTATTAAAACCCCGGTATTATGTTTATTATGTTATGTAATTTCCCATCCCATTAAATTCCAAGTGTCCATGTCTGTGGGAACACTCCGTGTCAATGTTAGCGCCGAAGTCATTACTTCTTATGTCAGTGTTCAATGTTAATGTCAAATCTAGTCTGTCTACTTATAAACGTGTCCATGACAGAATCCCGAGTTTTACCTATATCTGGGGGTTCATGTAAAACCACTCCAAGTAACAAACTGTCCAGTAATAATAATATAGGTATCCGGACACCAACATCAACCTTAATAATAATAATCGAAATAATGTTTTTGATCATCGTAGTTTGGGGGCTCAGATATCCCCCCCCTTCTTATACATTTAACTTCCGTTTAATTCCCAAATTTTAAAGGATTAAACTATTTGGAGTTTTGATATCTATTTCATTGGTAAGAAAAAGTAGCATGAGAATGAATTGAATAGCAGACAATTTCCACGAAAAAAAGAAACAATAAAGGAAGAGTACCTTAGGTAGAATTAAGCAAAAAAAGGATTCCATTTCAGAAAAAGGGATGGACAAGTTCATGCTAATGCACAAAAAAACACCACGTCTGTTCCATTTTAATGCTTACCATTTCCTTCTTAAAGAAGTATGAAACATCTTCGTCATCATCCATTTTAACCCGCCCCCCCAAAGCCCTCTGAAATAAAATTATAGTTAGTGGGCGCAAAATCATTTTTGGATCTTTAGGATAATGTTTCACAAGACAATAAAATCACAATTAAAAAGCTTTGCGTTACAGTACAATAAGTGTTTTGTAATGTTTTCAAGAGGAACATAGAAAATACTGATTCCAACAAACCAATCCTGAAAATAAAACAAAATATTAGAAAGACGAATTATAAATTTGATTTTTAAATTTTTTTCGAACAGGGTGTCGAAGAAAAAAATATGACTGACTGGTTTCAATTTTTTTTCTTTTACACCCTTGAAGACCTAAAAAAGTACGCAGACACCTTTTGACAAAAACAACCTTGATAATACGCAGCAACCACCTTCGATTTTAAGCATCCGCTTTCTCCCCGTCTCCACCCGCCGAATCGTCGGCGGTATCACTCGTCCACAGAGTCAGGTTGTCACGCAATAGTTGCATGATCAGGGTTGAGTCCTTCAAAACAAAATCAACAATTTAATTAAATCAAAGATAATCAAAAAATGCATCGATATATATATAAGTCTAATTCAACGGATTCAAAGTAAAATAAAATTATAATCTATAAATATTATTCTAATCCATAAACTTTTTTGAATAAAACATTAAATTTTACCTTGTAACTCTCCTCATTGAGAGTATCAAGTTGAGCTATAGCATCGTCGAACGCCTAACAAATAATAAGATGAAAAACTATTTTGTTATATTTTTCTGTATGAGCTTTCATTGGGTTTGGGGGAAAAACTTGAGAAAAAAAGAAGGAGTAAGAGGAAACGGAAAAGGGGGAATGGGAAAAAGGAAGGAGGGAATGGGAAAAGGGAAAGAGAAACGGGGAAGAGGAAAGGGAGGAAAAAATGAGAAGGGAAAAGGAGCAAGAGGGAAGGGGGAAGGGAAAAGGGGGAAGGGGGAAGGGAAAAGTAAAAAACCACAAAAAAAAACTTTTACGGACACCAAAACGCACCATTATACTAGTAAAATCCAAAAAAATCTTTTGGATTTGGGGAAAAAAATATGATTCTGAAAAGGGGGGAGGGGGGCATAGATACGAGTCTCACAACTAATATACACCCCTAAAAAACGTTGAACGAATAATTAAAAGTGTACATTAATTGGCCCCTCCCCTCTTTTTATTATTAGTCTCCTGGAAAATCATATTTAAAAATTCAATTAGTTCCATTGAAGATAACTATGAAAATTATTCACTTTCAAGCTTAAAATCCTCTATTTACATCAATTAATCTCACAAAAAACATACAGAATATTTCACTTTAAAAGGAGGGGATATTTTTCAAGAGTATAAATATCCCTGCTTAGTGTTTACCTGCTTAGCTAGCTGACACGCCTTATCAGGACTATTAAGGATTTCGTAGTAGAAAACTGAGAAGTTGAGCGCGAGCCCCAACCTGATGGGGTGGGTGGGCTGCATCTCACTCTTGCAGATATCAAATGCATCCTGAATTAAATAGAAACTATTGTAGAGATTATCTCCCAAGCTCAGCTCACTTTACGTCAAAGGTTCCCGATTGTTCTCCAAAACATTTGAAAATAGATACGAAACAGAAACATTATCTGATTAACTAACTATCTACGTATCCAGTATTTTTGTAAGAAAACGTCCTGATAAGGATTCATCTACCATTTCTTTTTATTTTTTCATCCATTCTGTTATCTTCTCATCCCTCCATCTTACCATCGTATTATCGTATTATCAACCCTTCATCTCCATTCCCTTGTGAACCGAACCAATCGCATTAAACCCCGTTTATATTCCCATCCTTTCCCATCCCCATCCCCATCCCATCCCAGTTACCTGGTAAGCTTTCTGTGAGTTATCTACAACTGTAGATTTAGCGTCCCCGGCAGCTACCTCAGCCAGATACCTACACAAAATAAAAAGGTTTAAAATGACCAGCGATGGAATTTAAAGAATTTGAGCCGCGGTTTATATTTGCCAAAACCCGGTTTAAATTAATCGCCGGCTTGAATCTTGAAACATTTGATACAATTTTAAGTGGAACCAACCATATTTAAGCCGCGGCTTAGATTTAAACCGCCGCTCAAATTCTTTAAATTCGGCCACTGGAGATGGGTTAAGAACTATTATTAATAATTTATTATTTTTAATATTGACAATTATTAACATGTGACGCATGTTTTTACATCAATTTTTCAAGGGCTTTTCAAATATATAAATTTTAGCCCTGTAGCTTAATTACTTTTGTTAATGCATTATACAATCCGATGTTTACAAAAAAATATTAAGCGTGTGAGAAAACCAAACCACCATCAAATGTAAGATTTATATAAGAAAGCTTGGGACACCATTGTATTTCGTAAAATATTCTCATGTGCTTTTTGAAACAGATGCTTTAAGCTTTTATAAAGCTTTCACATAATTAAACTCTTCAAATCCCTTTATCTGGTAGGAATCACATTTTGAAAAATGTTGGATTTTAATGTATTCTGTCAAGTAACTTTATCTGGTCACAACATTTTAGCATTCATCACATTTTATATATAAATCATGCTAATTGTGTTTATATATTCAGCTTCACAGCTTAATGATCAAGAAATAAACTCTAAAACTTAAGACTTGATTTCTGTGTATAAACAATACATTGGTTGAAAATAGTTGTTCACTACTAATGTTCCGACGCTAAAAATTAAATTGAGAAGAAGCTAAAAGGTAAGTGCAAAATCCTAATATACAGTGGAATATTCAGTTCTGAACTTTAAACATTTGCATTTTAGGAGAAGCATTTTTTAATGCACATGGTACGGGGCATGACGGTTTATTCAAATAAATCTGAAAAATCCTTGAAAAATGGATAAAAACAAGCACATTTTATTTTTACTCCATTTTTAGCGGTTTAATTTTTTTTAACGAGAAGGCTTCGAGAAAGTGGACTTTTAACATGCATGGCAACTAAGTACCGTCAACAAAAGGCCTTTATCCAGGGGGTAAGGGAACGTGGAACGCTCAACAAAGATTGAGAACTCAAGGGTTAAAAACGGATGAAAAGCCGACCTGAAATAATCCCCCTTCATCTTGAGGTAGAAAACCTTGGACTCGGCACTGCTCGCGTTAGCGATCAGATACTTGTCCAGGAGAGCCAGCACATCATTACAGATCTCACGCAGCTCAGTCTCTACCTTCTCACGGTACTGACGAGCCATAGCCTACAGTATCATTATTATTAGGGTTATCATTATTATGATTAAAATCTTTTTCAAGAATATCATCATTCATTATCATCATTATCAACATTATCATCATTATCATCATTATCATCATTATCATCATTATCATCATTATCATCATTATCATCATTATCATCATTATCATCATTATCATCATTATCATCATTACCATCATTATCATCATTATCATCATCAGGGGAAAAGGGAGGGGGATAGGGGGGCAATTTGAGACACCAAATTTCTACCTGAAGCAATGCTCCGATCAACCTAAAATTTTTCTCAAAATGATCATATTGGTCAACAACCATAGAACCTATGCACCTCAAAAAAAAACTTTTTGAGGATTTCCCGAGGAATTATTTACCTGTTTGCTCTCACTGCCCTCAGTTTTCTGTTCTATGCTGGAGATAACCCTCCAGGAGGATCTCCTGGCTCCGACCACGTTCTTGTAGGCAACACTCAGCAAATTCCTCTCCTCGTTACTCAGCTCGACACCAGTTTCAGTTACCGATTTCATACTGGCTGCCATGTCGTCGTATCTATACAAATACAAATTAATCAAGAATTTCTCTGCATCATTTGCAATTTTTTTGATAGGCTTCTATCGGATCTAACATAAGGAGATTAAGAAAACGAAAGCGTCGACTGTTGAGTTTAATCATTTGAAAATTTCTCTCACCAAGAATGAATGAGATATCCATATCTCAACTTTGAATTTGATTATTTTCAATTGTGGTTTCTCTTGCACATTTTCTATAAGGGGGTCCGTTTCTCAAGCTTTTTATAACATATAAAAATGAGATGATTTAACTAACCTCTCAGCCTGCTCGGCGAGCTTAGCCTTCTGCACTAATTCTTCCTTGTCAGACATTTTAGATATACGTTGAGGGGGTTTATTCTGTAAATATATAAATATATAAATATATATTAATTTAATTAGTTTGAAACTTGACTAGAGGATGGAACAGGTTCAATATTCTCCGGGGTTAGAGGGTTAGCAGCTCCAGGTTCAATTTGAGGTATGTAGTTCTCCTCGAGTAGGTGGCTGAACTCTGTGCCCTCAAGGAGCTTGGTGTCCATGTATTCTGCTCCAACTATTCGTAGATTAGGGAAAACGTCCAGTAGTAGGAGGCAGATCAGGGTTAAATCCTCAACATGGTCCATATCCTACAATTAATACGAGATGATCCATATCCTACAAATAATACGACATGATCCAGATCCTACAATAAATACAGATCCATATCAACAATAACTTCAGTCCAGATCATACAATTAATACGATATGATCCAGATCATACAATTAATACAATATGATCCATATCCTAAACTAATATAATATGATCCAGATCCTGCAATTAATATAATATGAAACAGATCCTACATTTAAAACAATATGATCCATATCCTAAAATTAATACAATATAATCCATATCCTAAAATTAGCACATGATCAAGAAGTTAGAAACGGTGTTTTACAAGAACTAATAATTATTTCTAGAAACTAAACCCTATCCCTAGTTCCCTTGGAACTGAAACACATTATTTACTGAAAAAGTTACATTTCAGCTCCCACTGGGAAAGCGAACAGACTTTAGTGAAAAGTGCTTTTATTGTTCATCTTATACTTTTCCCGGGGGAAGCGTACAGTCCCTTTTCTGTAAACGCTTGATATTAAAAAGTGAAAAGTCCTGTAAACTGAACAAGATTATTTACTTTAAATTGTTCCATGGATCTATCCGAAGCATAAATGAGTTTCCAATACCATGTTTACATACATTGCAATCTATCTATGTAAGCAACACACAACTATGCAGGTGTACTAAAGTAATACTTCAAATCAGCGAGTAAAAATAGTAATTTCTTTTTCACTCAAAGTATATTTCTGGTTTTGAAGTCTATCCCAATTGTCATGTTTTATGATTTGGGAAGGAAAAATGAGAAATTGAACATAAATAAAACCCTAAAAAATCTGAACAAACATAACTTCATTAGATTTTTTTTCAGAAGAGAAGAGAGGGGAATGACTTTTAGGGAAAAAATGCACCCCTACCGTTTCCTTTTAGATGCGTTTTTAAGACAATGGTCTAAACGTTTTTTAATTCAAAAACTGACCTTGAGAACGAGAGTTTTGAGGTTTCTAAACCTCCAGAGAACCTCAAGACCATTCCAGTCTAGCTTCCTGCAACCTAAATACAAGGATATTACTGCCCATTTGTTTTTGTTCATTTAAGTCTAGAAATAAACGCTAATAAACGGATTTATTATTATTATTTATTATTTTATTATTTGCTTAAATATGTTTTTCGTCTATTATTTGTTTGACTAAGAACGAATTTTTTTAAAACAACAAGGTTTCTGTAAAAAAACAAAAAGATTTGGACTCCAAATACATTTTTTTGGACCATGAACGAATTTTTATTAATTAAAAAGGTTTGTCAAAAAAACAAAAAGATTTGGACTCCAAATATATATATTTTTTTTACTAAGAACGAATTTTTATTAATTAAAAAGGTTTCTGTCAATTAACGTTTAAGTCAAGATGACAAGAAAAAGAAGTGAAAATGAAAATTTTAAAAATTGTTCCAGCATGATTGCGTCCTTATTTATCCAAAGCTGGGTTTTCTTGAAGAAATTTAGGCTCACTATAAATATCATGCAATATTATTCAGGTGTAAGCGTGGAGCACATACAAAACGTATCGTCACAAAACTTTTTAAATGTTTAAACAGCCTTGACTTTATAAGTGTCGTGCAACGCCTCAGTCTTTGATTTCACCTGACCCACTCACTCATACTTTTTTGTAGCCATAGGCATATACATTTTAAGAGGGCAAAAACTTAAATTTAAAGGGAGTAGTTTGCACACTACTGCTCGATTTTTTCGTTAAAGCGTGCACGGACATCTTGGTTTGCAGGGCTTACCTGATAAATTAATATATTCTATAGTATCTGCAAATTCTCCTGTTATTCTATCCAGGCACCACACATCAATATGTTCACAGTAGCTTATATCTAAATTATTTGGAATTATTGTAACGATAAATTCAAGGACAAATAACAGCGATAGCGGTTGGATAAGCGGTTGAGACTTTTTGCACTTAAGAAAAAAAATGAAAAATGAGATTTTTGATAAATTTGAGATCTTCAACTGATGAAACTATTTTGCTTTCAACCGCTCTATTCCAGATTTTTGTAAAGCTATTTTGCATTTACTTTTTTATCTTCCACCGTGAAAATTACTCATTTTTTGTGAAACAAATATATACACTTTAAACCCTGCGGTTGAGGGCAAAATATTTACCTAAAGAATACAATTTCAGAGGATCAATTTTTAATTATAGGAAGAAAAAAGTCGTTCAAGCGCTACTGCCGGTTTTTTTCTCCTAAGTATTTATATCATTGGAATTATTGTGCACAAAGATAAATCAGGGGCGTAATTCTACATTAATTGTTTTTGCATAAAATACATTGATAAAATTATCTTCAGCATAAGTCCCTCGGACAAGTAGAAAAAGAAAGATTTTTTTTGTATTTTTGATTTTCAATAAGTTATGAAAATTTACCTAAATATTTCAAATGATGAAGATTTCTCAAGTTCTGAAGTCCTTCATAAACCAACCTGGACAAATCATAATAAAAGCTATTTTGCATTTACTTTTTTATCTTCCACCGTGAAAATTACTCATTTTTTGTGAAACAAATATATACACTTTAAACTCTGCGGTTGAGGGCAAAATATTTACCTAAAGAATACAATTTCAGAGGATCAATTTTTAATTATAGGAAGAAAAAAGTCGTTCAAGCGCTACTGCCGGTTTTTTTCTCCTAAGTATTTATATCATTGGAATTATTGTGCACAAAGATAAATCAGGGGCGTAATTCGACATTAACCGTTTTTGCTTAAAATACATTGATAAAATTATCTTCAGCATAAGTCCCTCGGACAAGTAGAAAAAGAAAGATTTTTTTTGTATTTTTGATTTTCAATAAGTTATGAAAATTTACCTAAATATTTCAAATGATGAAGATTTCTCAAGTTCTGAAGTCCTTCATAAACCAACCTGGACAAATCATAATAATCAATATAATAATATCAATAATAAACAAATCATAAGCAAAATAAAAATGTTGAACTGGTATAAACTTGAAGAAATCCTGTATGCAATGTGAATGAAACCCAGGAGCTGACAACTTTTGAATTGATTCCACTGATTTATTGTCATATTACTCCCCCCCCTCTGAAAGTGATCGTTTAACCCGATTTGAATAGATTCTTTCAATTCATAAGTTTCCAACCGAGATTGTGAACGATATCTTTAATTAAAAAATCCCTGAACATAAAGAAAATGTTCACAATATGAATCCTGATCCACGATGCAAATCCGGATCAACGATGCGAATCCGAAACCACGATGCGAATCCGAAACCACGATGCATATCCGGATCCACGATTTGAATCCTGATACACGATGCGAATCCTGATCCACGATGTGAATCCTGATCTAAGATGTGAATCCTGATCCACGATGCGAATCCGGAACCATGATGCATATCCGGATCCACGGGAGCACATACAAAACGCTTCGTCACAAAACTTATCACCACAAAACATATCTTTCCAAAACTTATCAAAACAAAACTTTTCATCACAAAACTTATCAATATAAAAAACTTATCAAACTACAAAACTTATCAACATACAAAATTTATCCTACAAAGAGAATCTAGATCTACGATGCTAATCCGGATCTACTCTGCGAATCCGGATCCGCATCAAATGAAACAAATTCTAAGTACGGATAGTAGAATTAAACCAAAGTTTGGCGAGATCATTTACCAATTTCTTACCTAGAGGAGGAGCAGTCTATTGCCTCAATATACCAACCAGGGACATATACAGCAGGTATATCTAATACTCCCATTCCGGTCAACTCAGTCCAATCCTTGTGACCCCTGAAAAGGAAGTAGTAAGTAATATGATCGCGAATAAGTGAATAAGGTGCATGCAGTGCTTTGGATCCGGATCTGTAACATTTTGGCTTCTTGAATCCGGATTCGCAAAAATATGAAAATGGCAAAAAATCTTTCACTCTCAAATGGAATCTGAACAGTTGGAAAAAGAGAGAGTTATCAAAAATGTTCAAATCTCTTTATGGATTATCGATTTCTAGCATAAAAATATGCCAAAGAAAAGAAGTTTTAAAAAATTCTTCTTTATAAAAATTGGTAAAACATAAAGAAATGTTCATGAAGTGGATCCGGATCATGATTCATTTTTTCCAGTGCGCATCCAGGATACGGATCTGCATCAAAATCAAATGAATCCTAAGCCCTAGTTGTATGGCTAAAAAATGTCAAAAATCTTAACCCAATTCGCTTAAAAGAACTGTAAGCCTAATTTCAAGAGACCCTTTAAGCAAAGATGACAATGCTCGATTTACAACGGTACCCTTAAAAGCTTTATCTGATCAAGTCTGAATTAGATTTTAAAACCGATTATTTTCGATTGTGGTTTCTCTACAGAGGCTAATTGCGCATTTCTACTACAGAAAAACATATAGGAAGAAAAGGCCTTTAAAATATGTTCCACATTACTAATTCAAGGGTACCGTTGTGAATCGAGCATTGCTTTTTTTTCTTTATTTGTAGGTAACCCAGCAGGTTAAAACAGATACTTAGCAGATAATGGCGGGGAAGGAGGAGGGGGAGGGCGGTTCTTTTAAATAAATTTGATCAAATTGAGGCCGAATTTAAAGAATTTGAGCCGCGGCTTAAATATGGTTGGTTCCACTTGAAATAGTATTTAATTTTTCAAGATTTAAGCCGGCGCTCAACTAAAACCGGTTTTTGGGGGATTCGAGACACGCTTAATATATCAAATTCGGACATAGGTTTCTAAGTTGACCTACCTACCTAAATCTGACTCTACAATGATTATGACAGAGGAAATGAGCTGCGGCTAGATCTGGACCTAGAGCTAATAATCTCTCTTTAACAAACACCTACAATACCATTTATTAATGGTTTGTATCATAAGGGACTGTAAAGTGGCTGATAACACAATAAAAGAATTTCCAAGCCAAAAAATATTACCAAGTTTTACTCGGATAGATGTTCAAATGGTACTGTTAATCGGGCATAAATTATATCAGTGCTTAGGATCCATTTTGATTTGGATCCGGATCCTGGATCTGCACTGGAAAAAAAAGGATCCGGCTTCGGATCCAGGTTATTTCTTTAAAATTTACTGAATTTTTCAACAAAGTAAAATTTACAAATTTACAAATTTGTCTTATTTTTTCACTTTTTTTAATGCTAAAACTTGATAACCCATTCAGAAATCAGGAAATTTTTATAATCCCTCTTTTATCAATAGTTCAGTTTTCGGTTTTGCGAGTAAATTTTTTTTTGCAGCTTTTGGTTGATATTTTGACCCATGGATCCGGATCCGTAGATCTGCAAAAATCTTCCAAATCTTGCAGATGCCACGGGTCTGGATCCTAAGCACTGCATTAAATAGAGGATTGCTATAAATTACGCTTACCATTCCATTGTAAAATATGACCCAAATATGACTTTATAAAATTGTAAGAAAGCATAAAAATTAAGTCTTTGTACGTTGTATGATATAGACAAGAGATATATATTGATTAGAAAAGCAAAACCAGCAATTCACAGAACTATGCATAAAATTGGATATTGCCGGGGGGGGGGGGGGGTTT